GTATATTTGATCACGTGGTGATTTTGGATCAATCGCGCGCGAGCAAAACTATTTGATGGATTATAATTCATATTGTCGACTCTGTTGATAAAATCAAATTGTCTTGTAAAACACCTACCGCTGCAGCACCACAGTTTCTTTAGAAAAACTCACTTAGCACTCACTGTGTTTCTAATCGGGTTCTGTTCCAATCCACTGTTCGTCAGTACCCACTTAAAAGGGGGTTTAATTTCCAAAATAAGCAATAAAGTCGGACGATTTCTATATATGAACCCGAAGCAGTGGAAGGATTAACTCTTAAATGGGCGAATAGCTGATTCCGCTCCTTATAGCCCATGGACATTTTCGTACATAGCTAATATCACACCTGAACTAGTGTATAGCTCTAAAGCTTGTAGCAAGGCAGTCATCCCCGATCCGTTATCATCCACACCGGAAGTGGTCTGGACTGTGTCATAGTGAGAACCAATGAGAACAATTTTGTCGTCACGTGTTCCAGAATAGCGACCAGGCAGCCGACCAACGACGTTTATCCCTGGGAACTAGAAAAGGCAGACGTGTTTGGTTGAGCAGAAAAAAATTCCCCTAAGCAGACTTTCAAGGCCCTACACCTCTCGCAGGTAGGTGGAAATTTTGTGCGTCGTGAATAAAGGGGAAACTAGCGAGAAGTCTCAATTACTGAAGGAAAGTAGACCATCTCCTGGCGAGTTCAATAAAAATTGTACGTTTTTTTAACGAGTTTGCTTCGTGCAGATTCGAAGTTTTTAAGTCGAAGGTTAAATATTGTGTATACATAAAAACATTAAAAGGTGCGTTAGTTCAGCGAAGGCGGGACTGTCTTAATTATAACCAAGCTAGGTACAAAAAATTTTTCCCTGCATTAACAGACCTTAAATTTTACTCGTGCAACAAGAGGTATCATTAACCATGAGATTGACTGTGTAATATCTAATATATCGAAAGCATTCAATCAATATACAGTAGCGTGTGAAGTTGAGATAATAAACGCAATATCTGCAGCGGATATTGCATAAATAATGCCGAGTTTAAAGTCTACTAAACCCTTCTTCCGTGTAGTGTTCTCAAACTTTTGCAACTCAAGGGGAAGTGTCTTCTTTTGCGAATTGTTTTAAAAATGTATAAAATAACAATTATTGAATTCGGTTTTCGTATGATATCATAAATTATCAAACCTCGCGTCTACCAAATCCGAACTCGGCGTAATAATTCATGACACCATGCTCAACCTCATCCAATAATTGCTTATCATCAATACGTTTCTTAAGGACACTTTTATAACACTCCCTCAAGTTTCCATCTGTCAAATACCTGTTCAAAATAAGTTATTCACCTTGTCGTTATTGCTCTGAAATTCTTCAGTCCACGTTTGCAGTCCATGATCCTTAAAAGTTGTCACGATGTAGTCACGTGCTATTTGTTTCGCAGCTGGGTCGATGTAGACATTTCTTGTACTGTTAAAATTGTTCAGTATCGCGCGCAGAGACTGGGTCATACTCAGGGAATCTGCCGTGATCCATACTGCAAAATAAAACGAATAAAACCGGAAAAGAAATGTTAAAAAATCGTGAATTATCCGGTGGATCTTGTCAGCTGTTAACGGTTACCGTCAAAACGGAATATTTCAAACCGTCAACCATGCATAAATTTAGCATAAAGTGAAATGTCTGTCTTCCTTTCCGACGTAAGGTTTGATTATGAAAACCCCTCCAACTCATGTTTACTGATAGTGTGTCTCCTCTTTACCCATAAATAACCCTTTACACCCTAACATTAGTCGTCACTGCTTTCTGTACCTTTCCTTGGGTGCTGACAAGGAGAATTTGACTAACAATCAAGGACTTTTTTAGTTGGTGATCGTTTCTGATGATGTTAATGTGTGATCCAGGGCCGGGGTAATATTGTGATGAGAAATTAGATGCTAGTTACTCTTTGGAGTCGAAGAGTTCAACAGACTCTGTGAATATCCTTATCTGATATATTCTGATGAATTGCCTGTTTTTGTTTTGTTGTTAGTTATGTCCCTGTTTTATCATCATCCTCTCGAACTGTTTGCATTTCGTATCGCGCAAAATTTCGAAAACAACTCATCGACCCCACTGCAAACATTAAGATATGTTAAATTTCAATTGCGTGATGATCCCCGACTACGAAAAAAAGGAAGAGGGCAACATCAGATCAAAATGCGGTAAAGGATAAAAACAGTATGGGTTGAGAGGATTTAAGAACGGAACAAACGATGACGTCATATAGAGGGAGGCGGCCAGGGAACGTGAAGGCATCTAAGGAACTTTTAACTCTACTTAGAGGAGGTTGGGGACATTTCAAATCAAATATTTGTGATTTATAAAGATTTTTGGCTTAACGATAAGAGGAGTGTGGACAAACACTGCGTTGGTTGATACGCTATTGCGTGTCTAGGTGTATCGAATCATTTTCGGGAAGTCAAGAGAGGAAAAAATTCACAAAGTTTATCAGTCGTTCTGGCAGTGACTGTCATTATTTCCATTAACAGTGAGAACGACTTCCGCTTCATCTCGAATCCAACAATCCATTACCTTTTGACTCCAGTTTCCCTTATTTATTTTTTCTACTGCTAAGTAACAACCCACCTCGTCCCTGCTTTTTTTTTAAACCTTTCTTTTCTTACTTAACTTGAATTTCAACGCTTTTTTCAGATTTTTTTTTCAGATTTTAACGCTCTAACAGTGTTTTAATCATTATTGAGGGACAAAAATAATGAATATTATATATTCAATGACAGTTTTATTCTAGAGCTGCCAATTATTTTCATGTCTGGAATCAATTCACTTTTGATGTCCTCATCTAAAAAATATTCGCAAAGGAAATAGAAGTTTGACGAATAATTATTGCTTACTAGATGGCGGACGTCAATGAAGCATACATATATGTTCCCACTTCAACAACGCACGATCTACAGTATTCGTTGAAAGTGATAACGAAAACGTACCTGGCCCCTGACTATTGTAGGAATATGACAGCTGATCGAAAAAGAAAGCTTAAAGAGTTTAATTTGCATTTCTCTGATCAAAAAGCCTGAAGAAGTATGCATTGTCTTCAACAGGAAATTTAGCTTCGAAATGGTAGGTAGTTTAGCGAGTAGAATATTGGACTTGTGGTTTTTCGATGGACAAGATTACCGATTTGCTAAAAGGAAAGGAAGTGACAGAATTGTAATCCTTTTATGGAAATGATATCGTCAATAACTCTTGTTAGAATTCTGTCAGATTTAATCCTGGTGTGGCAACTGATCCTAAGCATCGACACCAACTTCACTTCCTGTGCGCAAGCCATAGCAGCGGACCTTCAATAACGACATGAAGTAAAGAGAGGCCGTAAAAATGATACACGTAAAACCTCCTCCAATAACACCAAGAGCTTCGTACACTTTACGGTGGTTGGAAGCCGAAGGCCACGATGTTAATTTATCAGGAATTGCGGTTAACTCCAAAGGAGACATCGCCGTGTCCGACCAGGGATGTGATCGTCTCATCATTTTGAACAAAGATGGAATATTTAAAGAAACGATCGGTAGTAGAGGGAAAGGAAAAGACAATGTGACGTTACCTGATGGAATAGCGTACAACAAAAGCGACCATTTGCTGGTTTCTGATTATGGAAACCATCGTATTCAACTGTACGATTGTAGAGCTGGTAAATTTTGTTTTTCATTCGGATCTGGTGGATCGGCTGATGGGCAACTTTACTTTCCCTGTGGTTTGTCCATAGACGAACATGACAATATCATTGTTAGCGACTGGGGTAACAAGCGAGTCCAAGTTTTTGACGAACGCGGAAATTTCAAGCTAAGGTTTTCAGGTCAGGCCACTGAGTCTCCCGAGCCAAGCGAACCGCAACATTGCATAGCCTCGAAAAAACTATATTTTATGACGGATGGGTGTGCAAACTGCGTGCAAGTATTTGATGAAAGAGGAACATTTCTGCACAATATAGGCTGTATGAATTCTCCTCAAGGGATTGCCGTTATTGAAAGCGAAATTTTGTGCGTTTGTGATTCGAATAATAACTGCCTGCAGTTGTATTACCCTGATGGCGCTTTTGTTTCTAGTGTCTCCAATTTAACCTGGCCAATGTACCTGGCAAAGGGATCAAATAGAGAGATTTTTGTGAGTGAGAGGGGAAGTTGCCAAATAACTGTCCTAAATTGTCCATTTTAAGGAGAATTACATGACAACAATTCAAGTTCTTGTTGATGATGTTTTAGGTCATTGAACAATGACTTTAAATGAAAACAGTAGATTTTTATCGAGAGAATATCAACTGGTTGATATTCTTTAGTTTTTATATAAGAGTTTCGCCTATACCAAGTAGGATAAAATAATTTTATTAGCAACTGGTGTGGAGAATTTGAAGCGCATGGCAAATAGCAAACTGAAAAAAAATGAATGAAAATTTTCTTGTTTCAAAGATGGAAGCCTCTTAATTGATTGTTTGATGATTTTGGCGCGCATCGATCATTGCATGAATACCGTGTCATGTCATCCCTAGTCCAGCTCGCGTATCCTTTCCCAACTAGGCGAAGGATAATCTTCCATCATTTTTATCCCCTTCGTGCGGTTTGAAAACATCATGTCTGTAGCAACAATTACAAAGTTTTAGTAAAATGGTTTCCATACGTCATTTCCGTGCATTTGAAAAATGTCGGTTTAATTGCAAAGATTTCATGAGCTAATATTTTAAGTTAACTGTGATTGCAACAGTATTAGCTGCATTTAACAGACTGAATAATGTATTCAGTTGGATTTACAAATTGTAACCGTTGCAAGCTGCAAATCTATTGATTTATGAAAAAGTTCACTTCGTGCCTAAAATTCAAAGGAAAAACATTTAAATTGAAAATGCCATGTTTGATTAATCATATGGCCCATTAATTCATTTTTATTCTGAACGAAATTTATTTCAACAATGACTAATCCATTCATCCTAAGAGCGCACTTAAATCTCCGATATGTGGGGCGGGGAGTGTGTGTAGGAGAGTAGGAATTCGCCAGTCTGCGATATTTTTTATCAGGCTCTATTTTTGTTACTTTTGTCACCGTATTCCTTTAAAACTTCCGGCAAAGGAAAGGAAAGTTTTCCTCCTTCGCGATAGCTATCTCCCGCTTGTCATTCATTTCTTTTGGTCCGCTTTCGCCTCATGCTTAGCCCTCTTCCAATCTCGTTTCTTCCCTTTGGATTTAAACGGAGCAAAATATGTCTGCAACGCAGGCGAGAAGTCCGGCAATGCTATCCATAATCCGAACTTTTAAACAGCCAGCGTCCGGCATCCGAGCGAAAATTTTCAGCCAAATTGCAATTTGCGGTATCTTTTAAAATTTTAAGTTTGATAATCATTTTTTAGGTATTCGCAGAGTTTTTTAAATGCCAGATCTGCCGAACCGAAACCGAATCACTCCGCACCAAGATAAGACTTTTAATCTCTTTGGGAAATTTTTTATTTTACAAGAATGGAATAAAACTTTGATTTTCAAGATCTGAGCTCAGCACTCCAATCGGCAATCGCTTAGAGCACCATGCAAAAGAGAAAAAAATTGCGAACAAATTTGCCGCAAAGATCGGTAATTTAGTGACTTGAGATCAAAGTTATTTGGTAAATATTTTCACCCAATGAAACTAATATCCTTTCGTCGTGTTTTGTAAATGTTTTCCTATCTTCTTTGATAGATTTACTGAATTTCAAAAGGAAAATCTACATCGTCATGTAATACAAAATAAGCTGTCCGTAACCTTTTTTCGGATGCCTAAACTTTCCATCTGGCGATCGTTTATCATTCCAGTAAAGACAAGAAAATATAAGAATCTATAGGGAGTTTATAATCGCTTGGTATAGACAAACCGTGAAGTTTGAGTTTGTCAACTCTCAAGCAACGTGACATTCATTCAAGTAAAATTTTCCCGGGAAACTATACGCCAGCGTTTTCCCACGCACTGAAATCGAATTTTATATGTATTGGTTAAGTTATCGAATGAGATGACGATGAGAATTGGTCATTGTAAGGAGATTCTAGAGCTGACGTTTCGAGCGTTATTAGAAACTTGCCATCTTTTGCATAGGCTGATTGGTAATCACATTACCTTTCATCAGTTTCAAAGCATCCCACGCGGATTGCGCGGGATACAATTTCCCTAAAGTGCTACAAACGCGCGTGTTTGCCTCTCGCACCTCAAATTCCCGCTCACATAACGTGCAAGTATTCAGCCGAACGCGCCGCTTTTACTCATGCAAGCCCACATATTGTATATGGTAGATAAAAAGGTGAGATTATTCGCGTTGTCAGTCAGGACTTAGAAGCGTTTGCTTACTTAGTGGCCTATGCTCAATTAAGGTTTCAAATACATTTCGCACCACTGACAATCGAGATACTTCAGAAAAGTAAATTTGCATTTTGACAATAACAAACGTACAAAAGAACAAATTATTATCTGCAGAACGGAATAAAATCTAGGAATAAAGGCAAATTTTACGTTGGTTTCATCATCATTGTTATTTTGTCGAGAAAACCTTGACGATCGACTGCAAAAGCGATCGGGCAAATAAAAAAGGAAGTCAAGGAAATTGTATTTCGTTTCAATAAACAACATTTCGTCATGCAAATTTTTTCATTTGTTGATTATCATAATTGTCATCCTATCAGCAGCAAACAACTTCCTGTTGATGCAGTGGCGGCCCGTACTTACTACTAAGGTACATAAATACGAAAAGCTGTGGAAATGATACACGTAAAACCTCCCCCAATAACACAAAAAGCGTCCTACAATTTACGGTGGTTGGAAGCCGAAGGCCACGATGTTAATTTATCGGGAATTGCAGTTAACTCCAAAGGAGACATTGCCGTGTCCGACCAGGGATGTGATCGTCTCATCATTTTGAACGAAGATGGAACATTCAAAGAAACAATCGGTGGTAGTGGAACAGAAAAAGGCAATTTGTCGTTACCTGATGGAATAGCGTACAACAAAAGCAACCATTTGTTAGTTTCTGATTATGGAAACCATCGTATTCAACTGTACGATTGTAGAGCTGGTAAATTTTGTTTTTCATTTGGATCTGGTGGGACAGCTGATGGGCAGTTTAACTTTCCCTGTGGTTTGTCTATAGACGAACATGACAATATAATTGTTAGCGACTGGGGCAACAAGCGAGTTCAAGTTTTCGACGAACGCGGAAATTTCAAGCTTAAATTTTCAAGTCACGCTACTTTGGAGAAGAAATCATGGGGATGTCGTGACTCGTCTGGCATAAGCGAACCCCAACACTGTATAGCTTTTAAAAACTCATATTTCATGACGGATGGATGTGCAAACTGTGTAAAAGTATTCGATAAAAGTGGGACATTTATACATAATATTGGTTGCATGAATTCCCCTCAAGGGGTCGCAGTTACCGAAAGTGAAATTTTGTGTGTTTGCGATTCGAACAATAACAGTGTGCAGTTGTATTATCTCGATGGTAAACTTATTTCTAATTTTCCCCACCTTAACTGGCCAATGTACCTTGCAGTAGGAGTAAATGGAGAAATTTTTGTGAGTGAGAGGGGAACTTGCCAAATTACCGTCTTAAAATTACCTTATTAAACATATAAAAATTTGAGACGATCACCAAGTCCATTTAGTTAATGGGCCTTCAAACCAGACAGATTTTGCATACATATCATATTTCAAATAATCCATTTAACGAAATACTTACAGCTGCTAACCGCCTTGAAATAATTCATACGATTTGTGAAATAAATGATTATCCGAAGACTTTCCTATTGTTCGCGTGTGTGTGTTTTTCATTTTTTCGTTCAACTGAGTGAAGACCCAACGCGTAAATGCCATGTCACGCAATATGTTAGCCTATTTAAGATACAAACAGCCTCTCCGCGAAACGAAAACCTGGGACCATCTTGCGGAGAGATTGCTTTCATTTCTTTCGGCAAGCATAAGGTGAGCAAGCGGACGGAAAAATCTGTTAGTGACAAAAGGCATATTTTTAAGGACATTTCCGTTATTTCTGAGATCAGAATAAATAGATATATGATGGCTAGAACACTGAAGGTTCCTAAATTGTTTCTTTTCTTTTTATTTAATTTCCTTTATTTTTATTTTGGCCACGAAATTTTTCTCCTGGCGACCATTTTGTGATTTCAGGTAAAAGTACGGCCGTGGAGTTTGACTTTTCAAAAACGTTAGTCAACCCGATATGGCCATTTGAAAGCAGCAACGTGAGATGTCATCTGTTTTAAATTTCCCCAGCCACCGACATTTAATATCGATAATCTCGATATCTTTTGGCTGAATGATGATTACATGGCCTTTCGCCAATTTGGATGCAGTCTGCGCCCGTTGCACAGGATGAAGGGAAAAAAAAAAATAGCGTGTAAGGTTGCCTCTTACACTTCTCATCAAGGTGCAAATTTACAGCCAACCCTTCTAACTTTTGGTCATGTAAGCCTACATGTTGTATACCTGAACTCCTTTCCTTGTCAGCCGGAACACAGCGTTACGCTTAATCAGTGGCTTTAGCACGATTCAGGTTTCATATGCATTTCCCACCACTGATTGCATCTTAAACTGACAAGAGAAAAATATTTGTCTGCAGCTCGTAATTGAATTTGAAATCAAGGCAACTTTTACGTGTATTTCGTCGGCATTGTTATTTTATGTGGGAACCATAACGATCGAACGAAAACCGGTAAAATTTCCACATAGTCCCATCCTATTGTAAAACAAATCTGTTTTCCCAATGGCAATGTATTGTTTTTGTCATTGT